CTCACTGTTCTAAAAATCGGCCTAGGCGGCCGCCTAGGCGGTGCCTAGGCGCTAGGCGGTGTCCGGGCGCCTCCGATTTGTACAAATCGGCAAAAAAAATCGGCCAGGCGGCTAGGCGGCGCCTAGGCGGCCCTAGGCGCTCCTAGGCTGCCTTGGCGGGCTCGGCGGCCAGGCGGTTAGGCGGCGTCTAGGCGGGCGTAGGCGGACTTAGGCCCTCCTAGGCAGGCTCGACGGCAATTTTTCAATTTTTTTTTAATTTTTTTTATTTTTTTAAATACTAATTACATTATTTTGTTCTCATGTTTTCTTTAATATATATTAATATTATTATTTGGACTTTGGTGTGTGAATTTATTATATGTTGAGATAATTTTATTTTGTAGGTAGTTAAAATAAATAAAAAATAAAGTATTTACTATTGATTTCTGGACCCCGACTAGGCGCCGCCTAGGCCCCGACTAGGCGCTCTAGGCGCTAGGCACTGGTCGAGCGCCTAGCGGGCGCCTAGCGACTTTTAGAACACTGGATAAACTTCACAAATTTATTTTATACGATCTCACATTTTTCCTATTTAATTTATTTTGATATTATTACTTTATTAATCTTCTCCACTATCTTTTCCTTATTTTTGTATTATTTTATGCCCAGGTTTTTGTGACCTCAAACCTATTCCTTATAATAATCATAAACCTCAAAATTTTGTGTTTATAAACCTCTTATAATAATCTATTATCAAAGATGCCCGTATCACTATAATCCCTAGGAAATTAAACCAAACAAAAAGAGTCCAAAACTATACATAAGCCTTAGCCATGTCCCTCGTGTTAACAAGCCTCGAGCGGCTTGTGAGCCGCGTGATAAATTTCGCGTTCGAGCGGTGGCTTCAGAATCCGCAGTCCTTCTTAACGGACATCAGCACGCTTTCTTTAGTCCGCTCGTGTAGGCTAAAACACATTCCCATATCCAACCAACTCCGTTTGGTCTTCAGTTATCCGTCAGAGGGCGACGGGTTTTGGAAAGATAAATTCGTCAAGGCCGAAGACGCGAGACTCAACCCCAACTTTAAGCAAAGCTTGCGCTCGTTGCGCGTGCTGGCCAAGCTCGTTCGCGCCCTTGTTCAAGGGCTCAGGCTCGAGCACGATTCCCGGGTTTCTGTTGGTTATGCTGATTGTCAAAAATTATTGATAGGTAGGTAGCCATATATATAGCACTTGTTATGTGTTTTTGGTCTCATAATTTATTTACTTAAAAGTGGAGATTTACTATACACCCAATTCATAAATAGTTCGTTGATTTCGTTGAGTTGGATTTTGGTAGGGAAAACGTGTTAATGTGACAGGCTGTTGAGTTGGCAGCTGACGTACTAACATATCCATACTCAGCAAGCCGGTCATATTGACTGGCTTTTTTCGGTAGAATGAACAAATTTCAGGTTTTTTTTTTTGGTATAGGGTATTTTGTAAAATCAACACAATCATCGGATTATTTATCAATTTGGTGTTAGTTGAAGTACAAAATGTCCAATTTTTGGGTCAGAAATTGAGATATTTTGATGACAAATAAAATAGTAATCATTGGATTTTTTATTTTTTTTTTGTCAAATTATTGAATATTGTTTTTTTGGTCTCAAAATCTCAAGAATATATATCTGACTTAAATTTTCAAATGTCAAAGAGACTAATACATCTTTGCATATTCTAATTTACTAAATTTCCAATTTTTATCGATATATCATGCACGTCGACAGGAAAAACCGAACCTGTGGTTGTACCGGGATGCGGTGAGAACGAAAGCCGGGAAGTTGTTGATAAGCCGAGGAAACTTTGGGGCGTGGGGTTCAATACGGAGCATTTGGAAAGGATGGTTTGGGATTTGACGCTGACTAACTCGGGAATCGACAATGCATCCTATTGTGGAAATGGGAAGATTGCTATGGAAGACCATGAGGTTCACTTAGCTTATACAGACGAGGAATTAGCTACCACTTTAGCACACGAGGTACGTAACAACTGTAGATTTCATTCCAAAATTAGAATCGACTAGTCGTGCTAAATTACAAGTGCAACTTAAAACATTTGAGGTAACTCTCTACAATAAAGAGAAGTTTCAATTTTTTTAAATGGCAATATGAAAATTTTACTGTACACTTTGGTGAGTTTACTTTTTATGGGTGATTAATTAGCAAAGGTCGCTTTGTGTCCGATGACCCACTGTTTGGCAGTCTAGCATCAGCATTTGTATTCATATCGGTTTCTGTTTGAGTGGAGGTTTCAAATGTAGCATGGCATATTCATTTATGAAGTTGTCGTTTTTAACTTAAAAGATTTGATCGTTAGATTGGGCATGGAGTGGCAATGCATATCGAAGGGGACCCCCAATATACGTTTTGGCCCTTTCTCCTAATTCCGTGGACTTCATCCTTTTGGGCCTCGATAATACTCTTGCGCGTATGCGACTTAGTGCTTTACATGAAGAGAAGGTAAGAGTTAACTCGCTCGGTTATATGCGAGTCACGATCATCCAAATTCATAATTCGGATTTTTTTTTTTCAATTAGGCATGAACTCGAAGCATGGTACATTGGGCTTATGTTGATGGCCTCGGCTGGCTACGATCCTAGGCTTGTGCCGGATTTTGTCAAGAAATTAATGGAAATCGAGTGGGATGACGATTATAAGTGTCTATTGGAGACGACTCACCCTCGTGCCGGGCGAGTAGCCGAGATGCTGCGCCAAGAGAGGGTGATGGATAAGGCAGTCGAAATATATGAGAAAGTTCGGGCCGGAGGTGAAGTACCGAGCTTTGTTGGGGGAGGGGAAAGAAATTTTTGCAGCAGGCTTTTCAACCCTTTTTCAGTTACTCAGTTTTTTTCCGAATTTAAACGAGATGTGAAATAGTTGTGTTGAATTAGTAATTTAGTATGGTAGGGCATGATTTTCCAACATTCTTTTTTTTTTATTTTTTTTTTTAATTTTATAGGAGAATTTGAAAGATTATTACCTTAGTCCACAAGTTTAATGAATCAATAGTGTTACAGTTTATATATATACAGGCACAAGTGTGATCATATACCATATTGGTGGGAACAAAATTACGCTAAAAAAATAATTGCCATTTTTTTTTGGTCACATATGTTGAAAAAGGGACATCTTATGATTAACAAGTTAGTATATATGTAGATGTAGTATTTCTAGCTTTGTTGTCGGAGGGAGTTTTTCAATGATGTTTTAGATTTTGCTGATTTTAACTGCTCTTTTTCGTTGGAATGTGCGATTTTTGTTAAGATTTTTTTTAAAAAAAAAAAAATTGAGTCATATTTCAAGCGTTAGAAAAATCTTCATTGAAAAAACTCATTCCGACGAAATCTGATAAAAGAAGCATTCAGGGTGGCTTGTTTGAGAAGATTGGATAAAGCATCAGAAAGCAAAATAAATGAACAGGTAGGATGATAAGAGATCACCCTGCCTCAAGCCTCTAAAAGGCACAACAGACCCCAACACTTTACCATTGATATTAAATGAAAAAGAAGCTGAGCTAATACAAGCAAAAATCCAAGCCAGGAATTTATTACAAAATCCCATATGCCTACAAACTTTGAGCAAAAAATCTCATTCTACTCTATCGTAGGCTTTTGCCATATCTAATTTGATAGCCATGAACTTATTATTGCCTTTTCTTTTGGCACTAAGGAAATGGACAACTTCATTGGCTATAATAGCTTTATCAAAATTTGCCTATGGGGCACAAAAGCAGACTGAGCTTCAGAGACACAAACATTCAAAACATGTTTTAACCTATTTGCGTTTACTTTTTATGGGTGATTAATTAGCAAGGTCACTTTGTCTTCCGATGACCCACTGTTAGGCAGCCTAGCATCAACATTTGTATTCATATCGGTTTCGTCTGATTGGAGGTTTCGAATGTAGCATGGCATATATATTTATTTATGCAGTTGTCGGTTTTTAACTTAAAGATTTGATCGTTAGATTGGGTATGGAGTGGCAATGCATATCGAAGGGGACTCCCAATTTGCGTTTTTGCCCCTTCTCCTAATTCCGTGGACTTCATCCTTTTGGTCCCCGGTAATATTCTTGCATGTATGTGACTTGATGCTTTACATGCGTCGAAGGTAAGAAGAGTTAACTCGTATATGGGAGTCACGATCATCCAAATTCATAACTCGGTTTTTTTTTTTTTTTTCAATTAGGCATGAACTCGAAGCATAGCACATTGGGCTTATGTTGATGGCCTCGGCTGGTTACGACCCTAGGCTTGTGCCGGACTTTGTCAAGAAAATGGAAATCGAGGAGGATGACGATTATAAGTATCTATTGGACACGACACACCCTTGTCACGGGCGAGTAGCCGAGATGCTGAGCCAAGAGACGGTGATGGATAAGGCGGTTGAAATATATGAGAAAGTTCGGGCCAAAGGCGAAGTACTGAGCTTTATTGTTAGTTCGTACTTCATTATTGTGTTTTAGTGTTATCTATTTTATTTGATAAAAATACAACAATAGTTATAAAATTAATCATTTTCTTTTTCATGTAGTGTTTCGGATCATATAGAGTTTATTGTGCCACTTGTCTCTATAATCATATTTCGAAATATTTGTATTTGTATTATGTATTATGCTAATTGTGTCATTTGTCCCTTATGCTTACAATTGTGTTTTCTATTCGTTTATTGTACATTCTGACAAAGAAAAAAAAAATCATTTTATGTACATGAGATATTTTATTGGCATAAATTTTGAAAAATATATACTTAAATTTTAAAAATAAAAAATGCCTGCCATGCTAAAGTCAACTTTCTCCAACCTTTCATATGACTGCCATTAATGACACACCAAAATCAACTCATTTATAAGAATATAATAAAACAATCAAAAAAACCCCGAGACTTTCACATACAAAACACGCAAGAATCTCTCAACCGTAGCTTCAACATTTGAATCTCACAATCCCTTTCAATCTAGAAAACACTAGCCACAAGACAACACTCATGGAGGCAGCCAGAGCCACCGGAATCCGCCTGATTGTGGTGGCTCTGCTCATCTCTGCGGCCGCCGCGACCGGCGGCGCTTACACCAACCACACCGTTGGCGGGGCCGCCGGTTGGCTTTTCAACTCCGCCACGAACGAGACTTCAGCTGACTATAGAGCTTGGGCTGCTAACCAGACTTTCAATCTTGGGGACTATCTCAGTAAGTTTGTGAAACGCGCTTTATTGAGCTGATTTTGGAATCCTAAGCTGATTCTTGGTCCCAGATTATGTTTCCTTGTTGATCTGAGATTTTGATTTTCTCTTTTATTGTGGTTTTTTTTGGGTTTTTTGGATTGATTAAGTTCGAGAGATAAAAGAGCAATCTTGGCTGATTTCCTTGTTTGAGCTGATTTTTTAATTTCGTGATTTTTGCTCAACTATAGGTTTGTTTAGTTTTTCATGCCTTTTGTTATTGGGTTGCCACGACTATTTCATTGAGATCAAATGAATTTTAGTTGAAATCATTAATGGGTTTTGTGATGTATTCGAGCTAAGGATCATGGCTGCTAATGCTTTATTTACTTATCTTATTTTACTGAGATGACTGTTCATGATCTGTAAACCCAAGTTAAATACTTATGTCTTTCCAATTAGTGTCTGTAAATGTAATAGCAACTGGACTAGAATTTCCCATGAAAAAAAAGGAACATTTGTTAACTGAGTGTGGTATATATTGTAGTGTGTTTCTTGTTTCTAACGATTGTTCGTTTTACAACCAATTCACGGAATAAAAGTAGATTTTGTGATTTTGTATCCTGATAGTACCCACTGATGATTACATGTTTAGTTTGCCTTTGTTACTTTAAGTTACTTACATTGTGGGGAAGGAATAAAGGAAGTCTAAAGTAATATGCTACTTTTGGGAAAAATGAAAGCTGTAGTGTTATTGGAGTTAAATGAGTAGTTAGCTTGTTATATATAAAAAAATTATGGCTAACAAGAAATTACATTGTAAAAATGTAATATTTGTATGTTATTAATAGTTGTATGGGCGATTTGGGCAGATGGCAGATGCAGAGAGATTATGTATTATGTAGTGTTTGTTTATTGAAATTAATAAACCTTCAAAGTTGGAGAGTATTCACAAGTCTGTGTAAAGATAGATATGAATACCGCTGTTAAGACAATCATCTCCTTTTAGGAACTGAGAACTTCTGCGTGTATTGTGCCTTCAAATGTGAGGAAAAACTTGTATAGGTATAAAACACCTGACATGAATTGCCAATACTCTTAAGAAAAGAAAAAAAATTGCCTCTTTGTGAGGTTATGTTGAGTTCAAATAGTTTGTGGTGATTTCAAATGTCAAATTTTGTTTCTGGTTCTGTATTAAATCATTAACCTAAATCTGATTCTGATTATGCTCCTTATTTTCTTCTCATTGACATTTTTTCAGAAAAATGTTTTGACTTCCACAATCCACACAAGAACACAATCTTTCTCAACTTGTCTAATTTTTACTTTCTATCTACGCTAATCATCTCCTTTTACCAATGGTTTTTTAACTTTTAACTTCTCAAATCATATATTATGCCTCTTTTTTTATTTTATTTTTTTCAGTTTTCAACACCAACACGAACCACACCGTAATCCAAACCTACAACAAGACCACATTCGAAAGTTGCTTGATAGACGATGCTTTGGACTCCGACACTTTCCAATACTCGGGCGGCCACGATGAATTCGGGAACTTGACCACAATAGCCGTGCCTTTGACTATTGAAGGCACTCAATACTACTTCTCGGATGCCGAGGATGGGGAGGAGTGTCTTCACGGAATGGCCTTCGAGATCACGGTGGCCCACGGGCTCGGTCTTCCACCGAGCCTCAACCAGCCGCCGCCTCCGGCGTACGTGCCGCCGCCGGAGACGGCTGAGGAGGGCCAATCGCCGCCAGTCACGGTGGTGGCTGGCCGGCCGGCCGGTGGGGTGAGGGGTTGTGCTGAGGTCAGCTTTCTTGGGTTGGTTTTGGGGGTGGTTGGTGTGAGCTGGTTGTTGGCATGAGGGGAAGAGGGTATATTTGTCAATTTATAAGATTGAGANGTAGAATTTTGGGAGAGAATTTTTGTGTATGCTGTTTGGGGGAGACTAACAAAAAGGGAAAATGATGAGTTTTCTAATTTGAAATATTTATGTTTATTTGACCATTTTATATGTTTACTATATATTTTGTTTATAAGTTTGTAAAAATAAATCCAAAAACACAATGCAATTTAGAAGCCGATGACAGAAATAAATCACAAATCAAGTTTTATAAATAGTAAAAAAGTTGGTATATTTATAAATAAAAATATATATTTTTTTAAATGTAGAAATAAATAAATAGGAATTTGTAGTAATTGTGTAATTAGTTTTACTTTATGGTGATATAGTGGAAAATTTGGTCGGACTTTTGAGCAAGGGGCCCAGCTCTTGACCTGAATATTATTATCACTTGGAAAAATCATTGAACATTATTAGCTAATGAATATTATTGTCACTTGGAAAAATCATTGAACATTATTAGCTAATTTTGATTTGGATTTTTTATGTACGTGTGTCCCACTAAAGTGATTGAATCTTTCAATTGATATATTTCTTGAAATTTCATGGCAAATCAGAGTGAAAAGTAAAATATGCTGATTAATCATGTCTAACAAGATAACATTTCAATTAACTTGACATAGCCTTACTTCTTTGTTCATGAAATTTGAATTTTGAATATCTATTAGTAACTTCCAAATATTTTTAAAATAAGATTAGATATCATACTTTAAAAGTAATAGAAATAAATATATAATTTTAATTTTATATTATAATCATACATTGAATAAATTATGACGATTGGCCTTGTTAGACAAACGGGCTGTCCAATAACAACCTTCTAATATCGTAAGGCCAAGACCGACCAGCCTTTTCAATAAAAATGGGCTTAAGGACATAACTATTAAAGTATTAAAAAATAATTCCATTAGTAAAACCAAATCTATAGAATTCCATAAATGTCTCAATAGGAAGTTATTTATTATACAACCAATTCAAATTTTAAATCAATAATTGATTTCTCTCTCATATTTTCATTATCTCTCTTCTTTCTCTCTCTCTATTTTTTTCACGTTTTTTCTCTTTTTTCCTTTCTTCTTCTTCTTCTTCTTCAAATATAAATGTCTAAAAAAACACAAAAAGAGAAAAGATTAGTAAATTGATTATATACAAATCAAATAATTAAATTAACTTAATAGCAACACGAATATATATTATAAACATAACAAAACGAGATATGTAATAACAATGTAACTTCTTTCAAGCAACACAAAAACAACAATATGTAAACATTAAACTTCTTTCCAGTAACATAAAAACAACAATATGTAAATATTAAAATATCAGTTGTCGGGAATTCTCAATTCAATTGACACTGTACACTATCCAACTTAATTTTTATGTCAATCACCGTGAAAATTTTTTAATTTTTTTTGCAAAGATACAATGTTTCTCGTCTTCTTTGGAGAAGAAGATGAATAGACAATATAGAAAAATCAACTAACAAAAAACATGTTATGCGTGGGAGAAATCAACTAATAAAAACTTCTTAAATGTGTGAAAAAAAATAGGGCAAAATTTTCTTGCTCAACCCAATAACAAACAAAAAAAAGATTTCAAATTGTCAATTTCTTCAAAATCACCCAATCGATTGAAGGAAATCAAACACACCCCATTTAAAATTAAAAAAAAAAAGTGAAATGGTAAAATTGAGCATCAAATTACCAGCAGGAAATCGTTGTCCTTGGACTGCAAATGGCCAACTCCATGGAGGGATCAGATTCGAAGGTATCGTTGTAGTCCTGAGCATTCGCCACAATAATCGGCCAGTTGGAATCGTTGTGTTAGGAGTACGGACAACTAGTTCTGTGACTCGGACGGTTTTGTAGAGGTTCGACGGAAAAATTCCCTGGTGTGGCAGCTTTATCCGGCGACTGAAAGAAGAATAAGAGAAGTTTATAATGAATTGTGTGGACAGATTTTTGAAGATTGGGGTAAAAATAACTGTTTGCCTGTATTGTCCAATTATGGAATAAAATTGGAATGAAAAAGCCTATTTTTGACTTAACTGATTAGTAGTTTTATTTATGTAAACAATATTTTTGAAAAGATATAAGGTGTCTTTATTTCATAAAAATGCGAACTTTGTAGTATAATATCTCTACTTATATAATAAGGTGTATCATTTACGAAATTTAGTAAGTTGAAAAGTCAATGCAATAAATGCATTACTATTTTGAGCAACATAATATAATATCATATCTATACTTATATAAAAGGAGATTCTATTTACTACATTTACTATCCAGAAAAGTCAACTGCATTAAATATATTACTATTTTGGTATTATAATATTTTATTTATTTAATTGATTTATTTATTTATTTTATTTTAAAAAGGTAAGTATAATAAAAAGATTTTAATAATAAAAAAATCAAATACCAAATAAAAATGTACACTTTGACTTATTTGATTATATTTGGTATTTGATTATACCAAATATATTCCTATTTAGTATATACATTAAATACTTACTAAAGTATTTATTTGTTTTATTTGTCAAAGTTAAGTATAGATTTGTTTATATTATCAAATCATAAAAAAATATTAAATCCATATTGTAAAAAAAAAAATCATATAATTTTATAACAATTCTACTACACTATTTAACAATATTTCTTTTTTATTATATAATAAAATAATAATTAAATATTATATGGTGAACAACAATAAGTAAAACTGTTACTTTCTCTTATATCAAGGGATAAATTTATATGCTAAAATTAAATTTTTATTAGTATAAATGTTTTAGTGAGATAATATATTAATTATTTTACAAGCTAGCCCTAACATGCTCATATTTAATGTTTTAAAAGATGTAAAAAAAAAACTTATAATAACTCTATTGTTTTTTAGACTTAAACGTTGATTAAAAGAGGTAAAAATTCCTAATTTTTTAGACTTAAACGTTGATTAACACCATAGATTGAGAGTTTATATTTAGTAAAATTCCTAATTGTAATAAAAAAATTAATTTTTGCTATATTTTAGAATATCTTTAAATTCATTATAAAAAAAAAAAAAAAAAAACTACAATGAAAAAAGTAAGTCAGCTATATATCGATTTGTTGTACTCTTTAAATCACATTCACAATTTGGCTACAAGGAAAGGAAACTCATTGATTAAAATATTATTTTGTCAGTAGTCTTAATGTACAAGAGACTTTGTACAATTTTCTTGCGTATTATAAACTTTTATTGAATATTGCATCTTATAATATAATATTCTCCAAATAAATATATCCCGTACTTCGCACGGGTCACGTACTATATATATCCCGTACATTTTTCTTTATTCATGTATATATTTATAAGCCTAGATAAATAGCCTTAAAATTGTGCACCCCGTGCATCGCACGGGCTCTGTACTAGTTATATTATAAAAGCATACCAACATTTTCAAATAAAATGATTATTTTTATATTTATAATATTATATTATAAAAATAACATACATAAAAGTATGAAATTTCAAATGCTATAGTTAGACTTGATGTTGTAATTGAACCGAACGAGTCGAACTTGGGCATTTCGAGCTCGTGTTCGTTTATGTTCGAATATTGTCTGTGTTCATTTATGTTCGAACACTGTTCGTGTTCGTTCATTTATTTTTCGAGTAAAAAATCGTGTTCAAGCTCGTTCATTTAATTGTTCGCTAAAGTTCGAGTTCGTTTTTTAAATATATTCGACTAACTCGAAATATGTTCGTTCAAACTCATAAATAAAAATTAAATTATTTTAGTTTTTTATTAAAAATATAATGTAAATATAAAATAAAATAAAATTATATTAAAATAATGTTCGCACATTACTCAATGCTCGCGAACGAGTTCGTGTTCATTCGATTATTAAACGAGCTGAATTTTCTAATTGAATCGCTCGATTAACAAAAGAACGAGATTTTGTCGAACATGAACGAGCTTTTACTCGCAATCGGTCAATTCATTAACAACCCTAACTTAGACTTTCATACTAATATATAAGCATTTCAAATAAAGGGTACACAATTCTTCCAAACGGAAACAGGAAAAAAGAAACACAAAAACCACAAGGCAATGCAGGTGGGCTTGTTCATTGGTTGCAAACAAAATTTAGAAGCAACACAAGTTAATCTATGAGGAAATCCAATTACATTGTTTAGGCAGGTTTAACAGTTGATAGTCATACATATTTTTTCAACAAATATGGATATTGTCAAGTTGAAATATCATAATTTAAAAAATAATTTAAACAAAAGTATGAAATTTTGTAACATAAATATCCATTGTTGTTAATAAAGTGTGGCAAATCGACTCATATAACACTTAAACAACCACGTAGAAGAACTTGTGCTAACTATTAGGTCCATCTATCCGCTATATTTTTTAATAAACAATGCATCGTCATAAAATATTTAAATGTCATATTTTTGTTTGTTGTCTTAATAAAATATGCACCGTAATATAAAATATTATACTTTTATTTAAATTATATATAAAAACATTTGAATTTATAAATAAATATATATATATATATAATATCTATTAAAAAGGTACTGCTGTCCGAATCCTAGAATCTCTTGAACACCAAGACAATTGCAAAAATATTTGTTTTTTTAATGAAAACACCAAGACAATTGCAAAAATATTTGTTTTTTTAATGAAAAAATCGAGTAAATGAAGAAAACAATTTTTGGGAGAAAACACTCTTTCACTGAAATCGAATTTCCCAAATGTTTACAAAGCACAAAGCCATAAAAAAAAGCGCAAACTAAGCCTAATACCAAACTAATTAATCTATCTCTACATTTAATGAAATTCTTTAACGGTTACAATAAAAAAAATAAAAATAATGTAAGAGATATATTAAAGTCATTCCAATTAATTATAGAACTTAACAACTAATTTTACCAATTATTTTTATACAATTTTAAACATATATAGGCAACTACGTAGATACACTATCATACATCTTAGTTCATCACATAAACTCCTAAAACAATATTGCAAATTTGTAAAAACATCCAAACAAACAATTTGAGAAAGCTAGTGAAAAAAAGGTTTAAAGTTGCATAAACATCTAAACAATTAGAAAAATCTAATAAACTAAAAGGTGAAAGAAAGTTCTAAATAAATGATATATTTAGTTACTTATGTTCATAGGAACTTTTTAAAATTGTTAATGTAAATTTTAGTTACTTAGATATAAATTTTAGTTGCTTTGATTTATTTTCTTTTCAATTGTATTGAGATATATTGTAATTGACTCACATTTAAATTTTATAAATAATAATGACTTGTTATCAACTTTGTTTATATGATGTGATCTTATTTACTCAATAAGAAATATTTTTATTTTATTATATTTTAAATCACTTTAATAAATATTTAAAATATTAATTATTTTTATTTTCTAAATAATTATAAATTCAACATAAATTAGAATGATAAATTATGATGATCTCCTTATAAGTAATTTTAGATGTTAACAGCTAATTAAAAATAGCTAATTTTATCAAATACTTTTTTACAAATTGGTAACACAAACATTTTGCCAAAACAACTCATTCAGTCCGTTGGTCAAAACAGCTAATACAATCAGCTACAAACACCATTGATTACCAAACAAGGTCTTGATCAAATAAAAAGTTATCAAGTCAAAAGTATTTATATATTTTGAAAGTAGTAAAAAACACTACTCAAGACCGTTTTCCGTAATTAACAGCCTTAAAAAATAATTAATTAATGATGTTGAAAATTGAAATTATCAACCATAGGAAAACATAACGTATAAGCATAGAAATTTGGATTTCTGAAAAATCAAAGCCAGCCCACATAAGAACGACAGTTGTAGAGAGAGACGATGAGAAATATGAAGAGAGAGAGAGCATTGATCATATAACAGAGAGTCTATAACACGTATACATCAGCAGAGCTCGATACACATTTGAAAACCCACCAATAATATATTGCACACAACAGTCGATGAAATGATAGTAAATGCTCGAATTTTTTTGAAACGTTTGGTGATTTTGACGGTGTTTAAGGGCGGCGATAGGTTAATATAACAGTAAATTCCGAGTTCTGGAGGTCCGGTGGGTTTTTGTAACGTACGGAATTTTTTGTGATCTGTTCGGTTTTTGGTGTTGAGAGATTTTGAAGAAAAGGGGGGAAAACAAAAAATTGGAGCGAGATGGGGTTGATATCGGGAATGGTGATGGGTATGGTTTTTGGGATCGGGCTGATGGCGGGCTGGAAGTATATGATCAGCTACAGAAGCAGTAAGCGTATCGCTAAGGTGTGTGTGTGTATGTGTTTCGATGCTCATATTCTGAATTATCTGGAACTAATTAGAACGTGTTGAACAAATTTGTGGAAATCTTTATTGGGTTTGCATGTAGATTAATTACTTATTTTCCTGCCTTTTTCTTTATTTTTGTTTTCTTGGACTTAGATTTTTTCTGAAGGTCTTCTTCTTCTTCTTCTTCTTCTTTAGTGTGGCGAAAACAGCGACTATAATGTGATTTTGCGTCGGTGTGTGCGTGTGTGGTGTGTCAATGTTCCTTTCCTGAAATATCTGGAACTACTTAAATAGTGTTAAAACAATTAGTTACTTCATTTCCTCCCCTTTTTCTTTGTTTTGTTTTCTTGGACGTGAGCTCTTTGTGTGATGGCTTTTTTTGTTTTTTGTTGTACTCAAAGTGGTGAAATGGGAATTAGTGGTGTGGGATGGATTCGTTTTTTTTTATTCTTTTGATGATTTCAACATCTCGTCAGGTTGATATTTTGTCGTATTCAAGCTGAAATTGTTCGATTTTGTTGTGACTACAATATTGAATGCGTTTGTTTGTTTGTGTTTGGGCAGGCAGTTGCTACTAAACAGTTGAGCTCACTCAACAGGGATGATGTAAAGAAGATATGCGGCGAAAGCTTTCCACAATGGATATCGTTTCCTGTTTTTGAGCAGGTTAGAGAATTCCCTTCATAATTTTCATTGTCTTCATGTTTAGCTGTGTGTTTTTCGGTGGGTAGATTTTTCTTTCGTTTCATTTAGGAATTGATGAGTGGCTGAACAATAATACGCAAATATTGTGCCATTAAAGTTTTGAGACAGTCTGTGGTGAACTCTGAGAAGGGGTCTGTGTTGTGTTGAGAGTGAGTTAGACTAAGCTAACAGACATGATTAGGCTACATGCAAGGTTCAGATTAAAAATAGAATTAGGTAAATAAGTATACCTGACAGACTGAATCTAATGGACGACATAGGAAGAAGAAATGTTCGATTATTTAAATTTAGCATTCACTTCTGGTTTATGTATAGGTCAGGTTCATTAGATGTGATATGTTTTGTATTCACTAGACCATTAGCTAATCACTATTGACTGGGGACTTCTAGAATGTGGAGTCAGGAGAGTTTTAAAATCTATTATTTTTTCTCATAATAGTAACATTTCCTGAGAATGTTGCCTCAATTGGTCATTTTTGTTCTTGTTTTCTCTCCTGCTATTCGTTTTACGTGGTTGGTTGGTAGATTAAGTACAAAAATGTCCCATATTTCTTTTCATGTACCAATGGAATTAACTGCTTGTTATCCATTATATGCTTCTCTACCTGCACTTTCAGGTGAAATGGCTGAACAAACAACTGAGCAAACTTTGGCCATTTATTGCAGATGTAAGTCTTCTTATTTTTCCGTGTAGCAATAGGCCATGTGAGTTTGGAGCACCTGTCGTAACATGGACATTTTTGTGTCCACTATAAATATCAATGTAATAAGTTCCAATTACTGAATAATGATTCAAATTTTATTTTCTAAGGCTGCGGAGGCTATCATAAAAGACACTGTTGAACCGTCACTGGAAGAATATCGACCTCCAGGAATTACTTCTCTCAAGTTCAGCAAATTGTCTCTTGGAACTGTGGCGCCTAAAATTGAAGGTATCAACACTGTTGACAAGTTGTGTAATTTTAATTGATTCATATCATTGTCATCATTATTATGTACAGCCATTTTTGCACTGTTATCAGTTGAATCTGAAAGCACATTTGGTCATCTTGCATGAAAATGTAGCTAATTATTGAACCCAGCCTATTGGCTGTCTCAAAGGCTAAATAGCGTTGCTTTTCTGGACATGGTGCAAAATTGACATCCCAAGTCATGAGACTTCTTGATTTATGAATTTCTGTTATCAGTTGGAGACATTGTTCATTTTCCTAACATATTTTAAAACTATCAGTTAAAAACTATCTTATAGCTTTTTTTTTTATTCACATAAACTTTAGCTCTAAAATCAAGATTTAAAGTTAGTGTTTAGATTTTCTTTCATGCCTTGGCATTGCTCTTTGGACTCAAGAGCTGCTCACGAGTCACGACCCTCACCTAGTCAAGCATTTAACATGTTCAAGTCCAAAATCATTCATCTGTTTACATTACAATGGTAAAAGTGAGCAAGAAGTGAGATCACATGAAAGTAGGATACACTGATCCGTGCAGGGATTCGAGTCCAGAGTCTTAAGCAAGGTCAAATCACAATGGATATTGACCTCAAATGGGGCGGTGATCCTAACATAATTCTAGCTGTTCAGGCAGCACATGTTGCTTCTATACCCATACAGGTTTGGTGCATCTAACATTTTTCTAACTTTTGTCCAGCAAACATTAGTTGTGCATTAGCAATTGCTTTTATTTGAATTTTGTAGCTAAAGGATCTTCAAGTTTTCACTATAGTCCGGGCTATTTTCCAGCTTGCGGATGAAATCCCTTGCATCTCTGCAGTTGTTGTTGCTCTTCTTGCTGAGGTACTTTATAGTCTGCATATCTTAGTCTTGATTATATGTACATGAATAACTTCCTTTAGCAGTAGTTGAAAGATTTATAAATTAGCTGTTTATAGTGAAAATTCCCAGACAGAGACATAAGTGGAAATAGCTTGATACTTTGCATCCTGTAACTTCAGAATCAACTAAAAGAAAAAGAATACTGTCTCTTGATCCTTAATTGTTATAGTAATGGTATGTGTTTTTACCTGCTGTCCATATATATCTGAACCGTAAATCCCCCTGTTTTCTTGTGATTATTTTTTCAGAGTTCCGAGTATTAAATTTTTATCTAGTCTAGTATTCTTCAGAGTTATTTATATTCTTTATTTATATTTTTATTTATTTTCTTGTTATCCAGCCAAAGCCACAAATTGATTACACTCTGAAGGCAATTGGTGGAAGCTTAACGGCTATTCCTGGCATTTCAGATATGATTGATGTGAGTTTTCAACTTTACGCTCCTTGCACAGAAATGAAATATATCTTTCTTTCTTTCTTTCTTGAACTGACTTTGATCTTTCGAATGTGAGGATACCGTTCAAACAATCGTAACAGATATGCTGCAATGGCCCCACAGAATAGTTATTCCTCTCGGTGGCATACCTGTTGATCAGAGGTAATTTCTCTTTTCCCACCTACATTTGCTTACTCTTAACTGATTTCATAGAGATTGACCTTCAGCTTCAACCACATTTTTTCCTCTTTTTCTTCTTTTGAAGTGAGTTGGAACTTAAGCCTGTGGGAAAGCTTGCAGTAACAGTGATGAAGGCGAACGACCTAAAAAACAAGGAGTTGATTGGCAAATCCGACCCATATGTTGTTGTGTACATACGTCCGCTGTTTAAAGTCAAAACAAAAGTCGTGGACAACAATCTCAATCCTGTTTGGAACGAGACATTCGAGTTAATTGCAGAAGATAACGAGACACAGTCTCTCATTTTCGAGGTTTTCTCAACATTTCTCTCTATCTATCTCTCTCTGCAGATTACCTAACCATTAATTATCATTAATTTGCGGAAAAAAAAGGTACTTGATGAAGATATTGGGGACGACAAGCGGCTGGGCATTGCAAAGCTGCCTTTAATCGAGCTAGAAGCCGAAATGCCTAAAGAGTTTGAGTTGAGGCTGCTTCCCTCACTCGATATGCTCAAAATCAAAGATAAGAAAGACAGGGGGACTCTAACTATTCAGGTAAATATTTTCTTTTACAAATCACATCGTCTTCTAGCTTTTTCAAACAGTTAGGTTAATACTGAAAGTTAGAATCAGGAGTAAAATTGACAATTTATCCGCAGGTTCTGTATCACGAGTTCAATAAGGAAGAGCAACTAGCGGCCCTTGAAGAGGAGAAGAGAATATTGGAAGAGAGGAAGAAGCTAAAGGAAGCCGGCGTGATTGCCAGCACGGCCGATGCCCTCGACGGGGCGGCATCCCTCGTCGGATCCGGCGTCGGCATGGTCGGAACCGGCATTGCCGGCGGTGTGGGCCTCGTTGGAAGCGGGCTCGGGGCAGTCGGGAGTGGGCTGAGCCGGGCTGGGAAGTTCATGGGGAGGACTATAACCGGGCATTCTGGTGGGTCCAGGCGGAGCGGGTCGTCAACGCCCGTGAACTCCGTCCAGGAGAATGGCGGCGCAAAACCACGGCACACTTGATTGCTATTGGGATGGAAAACCTTTTCTTTTCTTTTTCTTTTTTTTCCTTCTTTTTTATTTTTGGAAATTTTGGTTTATTGTGTTGGAGTAAAATACAATTATTCGAGGATTATTGTTAAAGGCATTAGCTGCCCGTTCTCAGGTTGGGCAGTAAGGGTCGGAGAAGCAGGGGCGGATCTAACAAATATAATGAGGGGGGGCCTAATTATTTAATGACAAAATATAAAATATTATAAGAAAAAGTGTAAATACAAAAAACATACCTTCATAGTTGTTCTTTACGAGTTTTCATCGTCTGATATCGCTCGAGAATAACATCATTATCAATTTTCAAAAAGGTTTCTTTTTCTACATAAACAAGTAGTCTATCATTTAACCAATCATCACTCATTCGATTGCTCAATCTATCCTTAATAATATTCATTGCGGAAAATACTCGTTCCACGCTAGCTGTTGCAACCGGTAAGACCAACGCCAAAGTTAAAAGTTTGTAAACCAAAGGAAACACTTTGTGCTTCTTCGTCTGCACCAACTTTTCTGCAAGTTCACCAAGTCCTTTCAATTCTTTAAACAAATTGTTGAAGCGCATATCAACAATGTAGTTCTGCAACTGATCCTCGAGAATGAGAACATCGGATATAGAGAAGTCCTGAGGATAAAACCCGGCCATCTTGACTAATTTGCCCTTGTCAAAAGCAGAAAAAGAATCTCGTGGAGATAAACAAGCTATACAAAGTAGCAACTCCGTACTAGCCTCCGAGAAACGATCACGTAACTCTTGTAGTTGCAAATCAATCACGGCACAGAATAAATCAACTCGATAATGATGCAAATTCGTTATTTTGGGTGCATTACGAAGTGGACGACCGCGAGGATCAAATCGAATAAACATGCTAGTCATATCGGGGACATCAATAGAATGTTTCTCACAAAACTGACAAACCTCGTCAAATAATGAATCCCATCCACTATCTCTCAACTCTTGAAGTCGATATCTACAAACTCTAACCAAATCCATTGCATTCACAATATCTTGGTCTCTCATTTGTAGTGCTTGGGACAACTCATTTGATATTCCCAAGATGATTTTCATCATATGCAAATTTAGCACAAATTCAAAGCAATGAATCGACTTCAATAATATCTCAACCTCTACCTTTTGGATAGAAGTAGAATACTCATCCGCATAGATCACATCAAGCACATCACCCACGGGAGTAAATAAAGAAATCAAGCTAATCAAAGATCTATAATGCGAACCCCAACGTGTATCACCCGGCCGTTGAAGACTAGCTTCTTGGTTTAGACCCCGTCCACTAGAAATCTCACCCCTTTCTAGTGCCCCATCAATATAGCTCATTTGTTTTTCACGAAGAAGATCACAACGTTTAGAAGAACCCCCAACAACATTTATCAATTGAGAAACCACCCGAAAGAAATCAGCAATAGGAAGATTCTTTGTAGCCACAGCTACAAGGGCTAGTTGGAGCTGATGAGCAAAACAATGAACATAATGTGCACTTGGGTTCTCATTTAAAATAAGTGTTTTTAAACCACTAAGCCTCCCTTGCATATTACTAGCCCCATCGTAACCTTGCCCGCGCAATCTAGATATGCTCAAATTATGTCTCGAGAACATCTTGTCAATGGCATCTTTAAGAGATATTGCCGTAGTACTTGTGACATGTTCAACTCCAATAAAATGTTCTTTTACATGTCCACAAGAATCTACATATCTCAAAATGATGGACATTTGTTCTTTAGTAGATATGTCACGAGACTCATCAACCAAAATAGAGAAAAAAGAATCTCCGACATCTTTTAATATCACAATAACAGTTTCTGCGGCACAAGCATAAGATAAATCTTTCAAAATGCAAGGAGCTGTTAACTTGCAATTTTTAGGAGCATTTTCCATTGTCACTGAAGCTATACCATCATTATGAGCTCTTAAAAATTCCAGAGTGACAAGAAAATTACCTGGATTAAGAGAATCTTTCGATTCATCATGACCCCGGAAAGGTAGCCCCAATCGCAACAAATGTCGTGCACAATCAAGAGATGCAGTGAGCCGAATGCGATAATCATCCCTCATTTGCTTAGACTGTTTTTCTAGAGTTGTCTGAATGTGCACATTTTGATTCATCAGTGCATCACAATTCATTCGCGCTTGATTGTGTTCACTGTCATGTTTCCCGACATGAACATCAAGTCTCGATTTTTCTTTCCAAGACCTGAATCCCTCTGTAACAAATGTTTCCCCTCCTGATTGTTTTCCTCTATTTGGTTTGAAAAGATAACAATAGAGACAATATGCAGCATCTTTAGAAATGCTATACTCCAACCACTCATGTTCTGTAAACCAACCAGGAATAAATCTTCTAGCCTTTGTTGATGACGTTGAAGCTTTCGTCATGGGAAAATGGTGATCAAACGGTTGACAAGGGCCTTTCTGCAAATATGCTCTTCGAACTTGGTCTCTAATCTTTGGACTGTACAGTGAGATTGGAATTCTCATTCCAGGATCAGAGGGAAGTTGAGAAGAATCGAACTCATTGATCATCATTAAACTTCCGGTCGTATTTTCTTTATGCCTAGTGACATTAGAATTTTCCTCAAATCTATTTGAATTCAAAGTATCTCCTTTTGAGACATTTTCACAAGCACTTTGTTGACGGGGCCTTTTTGGAAAATATCTCTCCATATCTGATATACAAAAAATAGTATATAAATTTACAATCAATAAAACTCTCTATTTTCATATATCACAATCTAAAGAGCTATAAACACATTAGGGATTGAATTTGTATATTCTACAAAAAAAGAATAATTTTTAACTCCACCAAAAAATAAAGGAATTTTGGTACCTCGCAAGTCGTCTTCTCGAACAATTAGACCAAAAATTGATAAGCTATTTGACTCTTTTTTCTCTTTTTCCTCTCCCTCTTTCCCCTCTTTTCTCTATTTTTCTTTCTGTCTGTGCGTCTCTATGTTTCTTTCTGTCTGTGCGTTTGTATGAAGTCCCAGCCCCCTTTTGTTAAATTTGTTTAATGTTAATTAAATAATAATTTATCATATTAGTATATTAGTTATTTGGTGATAATGGGTTCAAATGTACAATAAATAAATTCCGAAATGGGTCTTCAAGTTCCAACATCACAGCCCATTTGCTTCTGACACACTCCCTTTCTTTTGATAGCTTTATTTCCACTATAAAAGTTTTTTAATGAGTAAAGCTAATTTAATATGGGCTTTATATATATAGATGTAATATGGGCTATATATAATAGGCTTTTTTTTTATTTTTCCAGTGTGGGCCTAGGCCCACACTGGTCTTGCTATGCCTACGCCCCTGCGGAGAAGGGCAATCACTCATTCCTAAAACCAGCCTTCTTAAGGCCAAAGAGTCAGGTGGAAAAGGGGGGAGGGCTCCCCGTTCCTGGTTCTCCAGCCTATAGCCTATGTAGTTATTCAATCAATCGAATGAACTAAATGATAAGGTTCCAGATGTCGATTCAATCAACTCTGGGTTGGTTTGCTTCTCTTTGAGAAGAAAAAACTATTCATTTTACTGGATTTTGCATCAAGTACTATTACAAGGTTTATGTTAGAGGTATAAGAACATCTTTAGTGGTGAGGTTTTGTCCAAGTTTATAAATCGCTTCTCAGCTTTTACCATTAAATGAGAGGGGTTTGACTTTTGAGGTTTATGTTTGCACGTGTGGTTACCTCCCAATAACCTCATGGGTGAGCCTATTTTATTTATTTTTTTTATTCTATATGGCACATTGCCACTACTTTTGTGATAAAGTTTTTTTATATTTTTTAATAAATTTTAATGTAGTGACAAAAAACTAGTTTGAATTGCAATTAGGTAATAAATTTTCTCCCAAATAGTTTTTTTTTTTACTTGACAACCCAAAAACAAAAATAATTAAATGAAATAAGAACGAGCTGAAATTATTGTCGAAAAAAATAATTGAAAATGAGGTATTTACGAAGAAGAACGAACTTCAATAATCTTTACACGTAAAAGAAAGAAGTAAAACGAGTTGAGTTAATTGACAAGACTAAAAAAACGAAAGCGATTAGTTGAAATAAGAACGAGTTTCAATTGGTTTCGAAAAAAATAATTGAAAACGAGGTATTTTTGAAGAATAACGAACTCCAACAATCTTTGCTAATGAAAGAAAGAAGTAAAATGAGGTTTTTTGACTTAAAAAAATGGAGTTTTTGACACCTTGAAAAGAAAAAACAAAAGCAATTAATTTAGATAAGAACGAGTAGCCGTTGTCAAAAAATAACAATTGAAAACTAGGTATTTTCGAACAAAAATGAACACTAACAATCCTTGCTTATTGTTGATAAACGGATTTGATCAACGTTCACAATGTAATATTAACACAAAAGATTGCAGAAAATGAGATTTTTATTGAATATTTCGAAGTCGGTTTTAATACAAAAAGGTCGGTTTTTTTATGAATTTCAAGTCGGTTTACGATGAGATATCCGAGGTGAATATATGAGCGTATATGATCGTTTTTCGAACCCTTCTCTCGTTTTCGGAACTGCTATTTATAGGTATGTTTGGCACACACCCCTAGACAAATCATTCCCGTTTTAATGAAGATTTGACATCTTAGGGGCGGCGATGACGTAGAAGAACCTTGTAGGCAATGATTAGCATGGGCGCGCCTCTATCTGTGTGACGAGTGTCACATCTGTCGGATCGAAGTCGGTTTGTCTTGCGATGTCGGCATCTTGATTAATTTCCGATATTCTGCAACTTCTTAATAAATAAATCTTTGACCGAATTGGCCTTCTTCGAGGTTCAGACGACTTGTGTTGATGACCTTCCAAATATCCGTGATCTCTTATTGGCACCGAGGTGAGGTTACCGAGATGTAGAATGTACTGCTTAACGTCGTCCAGAATCTAATTTATGCATTAATCTTCGCGACTTCTTTAATTGTATTGTAATATCGAAGTATTCTATCTTGATGTCAACATAGAGGCCCCTGGCATTAAGAAGTATGCAAATTATGCATACTTTTTGATGACACTTTCCCTTCTATTGCTTTCGATTCCCGAGCTGATCTAAAGATCTCTTTCGCGAATTTGTGCCGAGTTACTTTCCTTAGATAAAAATCGCATAG